GAAAAATAGACATTGTGGGTATTTCTGAAACTTGGTGGGATGAGGAAAATCAGTGGGACACAGTGATTCCCGGTTATATATTATATCGGAAGGATAGGGGGGGAAGGGTTGGAGGTGGGGTAGCTCTGTATGTCAGAGAGGGTATAAAGTCTAGAAAGATTGAGAGGCTAAGTGAATTGGATTCGCTTCTGGAAGTTCTATGGGTTGAAATAGGGGGGCCAAAAGGAAACTTAACACTGGGAGTTTGTTATCGCCCACCAGATCAAAAGATAGAGGAGGATTATAAAATGATGAATGCCTTAAAGATAGCAACTAGACAAAAACACTGTGTAATAATAGGTGATTTTAACTACCCACACATTGATTGGGTCAATATGTGTTCTAGTCGGGAAAAAGAGATTGAGTTTCTAGACACTCTAAATGACTGTGCTATGGAGCAGATGGTCACGGAACCTACCAGGGGAGAGGCGATCCTTGATTTGGTCCTAAGTAACACTCAAGACCTGGTGAGAGATGTAAAAGTGATTGCACCGCTTGGAAACAGTGATCATAATGTTGTTGAGTTCATCATTTGTACAAATAGAGAATTGGCCAAAAAGACTCACACAACCATTTTTAACTTTAAAAGGGGTAATTTCTCTGATATGAGGGGACACGTGGGGAGGAAACTGAAAGGAAAAGTAGAAAGGGTCAAAACAATTGGGGAAGCTTGGGATCTATTTAAAACTACGATCCTAGAAGCTCAAAAAATATATATTCCGCAGGTTAGGAAAGGCACAAACAGGTATAGGAAAAAGCCTGCATGGTTAACAAACAGAGTAATGGAGGCTGTAAAAAGTAAAAAGAATTCCTTTAAGCAGTGGAAAGCTAGTCACAGTGAGGCTGATAAAACGGAACACAGGCTATGGCAAATAAAATGCAAGTCTGAGGTCAGGCAGGCAAAAAGGGAATATGAGGAGCATATAGCAAAAAACGTAAAAACCAACAATAAAACTTTCTTCAAATACATTAGAAACAGGAAACCAGCCAGGGAGGCAGTGGGGCCCTTGGACGACCAAGGGGTAAAAGGAGTATTGAAGGATGATAGGGAAATGGCTGAGAAGCTAAATGCATTTTTTGCCTCCGTCTTCACTGTGGAAGATGAGAAGTGCTTGCCCACTCCAGAACCACTGATTTCAGGAGGGGTGTTGGAAGACCTGAGTCAGATTGAGGTGATGAGAGAGGAGGTCCTAAAACTGATAGACAACTTAAAAACTGAAAAATCACCAGGCCCAGATGGCATACATCCGAGAGTTCTGAAAGAACTCAAATGTGAACTTGTAGATCTCCTGACAAAGATATGTAATCTTTCCTTAAAATCTGCCTCCATTCCTGAGGATTGGAAGGTAGCTAATGTCACTCCCATCTTTAAAAAGGGTTCCAGAGGAGATCCGGGAAATTACAGGCCAGTCAGTCTGACGTCGATACCGGGTAAATTGGTGGAAACCATTATTAAGGAAAGAATTAGTAGGCACATAGATGAACAAAACCTATTGAGGCAGACTCAGCACGGTTTCTGTAAGGGAAGATCTTGTCTCACTAACCTGTTAGTGTTCTTTGAGGGGGTGAACAAACATGTGGACAAGGGGGATCCAATAGATATTATTTACCTTGACTTCCAGAAAGCTTTTGATAAAGTTCCTCATCAAAGGCTCCTAAGTAAGCTCAAAAATCATGGGATAGAAGGACAAGTCCTTTTATGGATCAAAAACTGGCTAGTTCATAGAAAACAGAGAGTGAGTGTAGGTGGGCAATTTTCTCAGTGGAGGGTGGTAAGCAGTGGGGTACCGCAGGGATCAGTACTTGGTCCACTGCTTTTTAACTTGTTCATTAATGATTTGGAGATGGGAGTAAGCAGTGAAGTGGCTAAATTTGCGGATGATACAAAGTTGTTCAGGGTGGTGAAAACCAGTGAGGATTGTGAGGCACTCCAAGGGGATCTGTCAAGGATGGGCGAGTGGGCGTCAACATGGCAAATGGGGTTCAATGTGGCCAAGTGCAAGGTGATGCACATTGGAGCCAAAAATCCTAAATATAAATACACATTGATGGGGTCTGAACTGGCAGAGACTGAGCAAGAGAGAGATCTTGGAGTTGTAGTGGATAACTCACTGAAAATGTCGAGACAGTGTGTGACTGCAATAAAGAAGGCCAATGCTATGCTGGGGATTATTAGGAAGGGTATTGAAAACAGATCAGCCAATATAATAATGCCCCTATATAAATCAATGGTGAGACCTCATTTGGAATACTGTGTGCAGTTCTGGTCACCACACCTTAAAAAGGATATTATAGCTTTGGAAAAAGTGCAGAAAAGGGCAACTCGAATGATAAAAGGGTTGGAACACTTTCCCTATGAGGAAAGGTTAAAGCGCTTAGGGCTCTTTAGCTTGGAGAAAAGACGACTGAGGGGTGACATGATCGAGGTTTATAAGATTATGCATGGGAAAGAGCAGGTAGAGAAAGAGGTACTTTTCTCCCTTTCTCACAATACAAGAACTCGTGGGCACTCCATGAAACTGCAGAGCGGTCGGGTTAGAATGGATAAAAGGAAGTACTTCTTCACCCAAAGAGTGATTAACACTTGGAATTCACTGCCACAGGAAGTGGTGGGTGCTACAAGCATGGATGGCTTCAAAAGGGAATTAGATAAGCATATGGAGCAGAGGTCCATCAGTGGCTATTAGCCACAAGGTATAGCTAGGGGCTCTGGGGCAAGTGATGCTCTGTCTTCTTGGTGCTTGGGGGGGTCAACAGTGGGAGGGCTTCTAATGTCCTGGCCCCACTGCTGGACCTCCTGATGGCACTGGTATTTCTGGCCACTGTGTGACACAGAGTGTTGGACTGGATGGGCCTTTGGCCTGATCCAACATTGGCGTCTCTTATGTTCTTATGTTCTTATGTTCTTAAGTTCCCAGAACCAGGTAAACAACAGCAATAAAAATCACCAGGAAAACTTCCAGGCCATTTGCCCCCTCTCCCTTCTCCTTGCTCATTTCCCCGGTGCCGTGCAGGCAGCTCCAGTGGAGGGCAGGAGTTTTGCTGCTGGCGTAAGAGACCTGGCCTCCTAAGTGGCACAATTTCAGCAGCAGTAAAGCTCAATAATAATGAGTTCTGATGTAATAAATGTTGTCTGAAAGCTTCTGGAGCCTCGTAGGTAAGGGAATTCTATGTACCACCTCTCATTACTGCCAAAGGCCGTAGATCTTAAAGGGAACATCTCTCCAAAAAGGAGATTAATTCCAACAGGAGGAATTGCACTAACTGAGGTTGCTTACTCTGGCCTGGGAAATTCCGGAGATTTGGGGTGGAGTCTGTGCTGGGGATGAATTTGGGGAGGGATTTTGCCTTGAATCTATGGTATACCACAGAGTTTGCCTTCTGAAGCTGCCATTTTCTCCAGGGGGACTGATCTCTAGAGATCCATTTGTAATTCCAGAAGAACTCCAGGCCCCAAGTCAAGGTTGGAAACCCTAGCACTGACCTAAGTGGTCAAATGCTACCTCCTATGCTATGGAACAGTCTTCCGGAGCTGGTTAAGAGGGTGCTGTGGAAGGTCAGTAGTTCAGCAGTTCGAGACCCGAGTTGCCGCATGACAGAGTGAGCTCCCGTCTCTAGTTCCAGCTCCTGCCAACCTAGGAGTTCAAAAGCAAGAAATTCCAAGTAGATAAATAGGTACCACTTAGGTGGGAAGGTAACAGCATTCAGTGCGCCTTGGTGTTTAGTCATGCCGGCCACATGACCACGGAAATGTCTTCAGACAGCTCTTCGGCTTTGAAACGGAGATGAGCACCGCAACCCTAGAGTTGGACTCAACTGGCTTTCGAGCAAGGGGAACCTTTACCTTTACTATGCTATGGAACAGTTTTCCAGAGCTGGTTAAGAGGGCGTCCAGCCTCCAGATTGTCAGGAACAGCTGTAAAGTCAAATTGAATTAGAGTGCATTTGAGGACATGTGAATAGAAAGCTGTACTTGAGTCGTTTAGCTGGATGGTTTTTATCCCTTTGTCTTTCAGTGGTGTTATTAGAAAGGGTGGGCCTGTTGAATGGGATGAGCTGTACCTTGTCTTTGGCAGTACAATTGGACTGGCTTTTTTGGCCAAGGGCAGCGTTCCCTTGAATCAGTTAAATTGTTGTAAGGTTGCCTTGAGGGCTGATTCAGGAGGAAGGTGGGATAAAGTTCTTTTAAATAGAGTTTAGGAAGGTGTTCTGATTTGCAAACTTGAAGTAAATCCTAGGGTGTTTAATGATATCGATTTCAAGTTTTCGGGCTGCTATTAAAAGTCTAACTTTAGTGTTCAGGTTTCTAATTATGTACACAAGATCAATAATACCAGTCATAATTTGCTTTGTGGGGTGGAGTTTGTTTGTGGTTATGAAATGAGACCACTGTGTATGCCTTAGGCAGCCATCAAAAGATGGGCATTAGAAAAGTAAATTTATTTTTTTTATAAAGTGTATGTTTGTTAAAGTGCTCTGTTTTACAGCTAATGGCAAGATGCAAGGATAATACTTGTAGGTGCTTCATTAACCAACTCGATTACCCATCTTTTTACAAAACTCCATCATGGAAATCTGTGGATACAAATAATTAAAATAGAGGCAAAGTGGCCCTTGAAATCTTTTGCTGCAGTTCTTCCAGGGATCCACAGCTCTGGATGGCAGAATCACCACCTGTGACACCACTCGTGGGCAAGCTTACTGAGTATATAGAAGCAAGGACCAAAATAATGAATGCAACAGCCTTATGACCAGTGCAGGTTGCCAGAGATTTATTCCCCCAATTTTCATGCCAAATGCTTTATTTTCTCCCCCCCCCCAAATGTATTGCTGCTTGCATTGGACGAAATGTTGGTAGTGGGATGGCTGACATGGCTTATTATTAAACCACAAGTGTTTTGGGTTTTTTGTTTGTTTTTTCATTAAATACAAATCCCATTTTGTCTCTTCACTCTTCCTAGATGTGTGCAATAGTACTGATCTTCCCGAAGTTGAAATCATCAGCCTGCTGGAAGAGCAGCTGCCCCACTACAAGCTAAGAGCAGATACAATCTATGGTTATGACCACGACGACTGGCTTCATACGCCTCTCATTTCTCCTGATGCCAATATTGACTTAACAACTGAGCAGATAGAAGAGACACTGAAATACTTTCGTAAGTCCAAATATGTATGTTTGTGGTCAAATACCTGTAGGATAGATCTTGTGTCCTCTGCCAAGATATCTCAGTATAGCATCTGTTCTTGGAGGGGGGGGGATACAGCATAAGAGATGGGTCAGTCTGAAAGCTGATCGCTATAGGATACCAGTCATGAACCTAAGCTTGGTCTTTCTGTGAATGCATTTTGTGAGTGTATATACATAACAGACAAACCAGCATTTCTGCTGTACAATGCAGATAAAATTTTCCACCCAACTAAAAGCGGTTTGAGCATAGTTTGCGTATGTTGGTCTCCACCCAAGTTTGTAGTTGCCTTTGGCTTATGATAGGGTGAGCAACTAAGGCTGCGTTCCTGAATTCCTTCTGACCTCAGTGGGATTTCTGCAGCACATGTTGAGGATTGCAACCGAAGTTACATCATAAAGGATGAACAAAAAGCATCAACAGCTTTGGGAGTCAAACACCAATTAAAAACAAATTAGAATACCCTTGAAATCCTGTGGAATTTGTATAGAGGCAGAATAAATGGCTGAACAAGGTTATAATAACCAGTAAATGGTTTCCCTAGTGGTTAAATATAATGAAATAGTACGTTGAATTGTGCTTTACTTGTAAAATTGTAACATTCTGCTATTTAAATTTAATTATATGGCTTTGGTAGAAGTCTTATGTTTACTTTCTTCAACTGGTTGGGGAAGGTTTTTAATTACCTCTTCTTTGCAAACGGTATCTTATTTACTTATCTATCTGGAAGTTCTGGTTTAGAGTCTCTTATCTGGGATGTCTCTTTTAGATCAGAACTTCTTTTGCCACTCAATCAGCTTTTCATAGTAAATGGAATTATGGTAATCAGCTATGAAAAGCTCCATTGGGTAAATCATTATGTGAAACTGGAAATATCAGTGCATGTAGTTTGCTGTTGCATGTAACAATGCTTCATTCAGATGCCAGAAACAAACCTCTGTCTGGACATCACAAGAAACTAGAGTTTAAGACTGATAAATTACCTGTGTTCAGTCATGCTCCATGCATTATATGAGGAAGCATGCATAACCAACCTCTAGCTGGATTTGTACCCATTACAAGCAGAGGTTTGTTTTCTCATGTCTGAATAGAGTCAGAGAGTCTTTTAGCACCTTAACAGCTAACAAATGTATTGTGATATAAGCTTTCATGAGCCTGAACCGTCTTCATCAAATACATAAAGTGTTACTTTTAATCAGCAGGACTGGTTGTGTGCTTACATGGAGACAAACTGAATATTGTTGGTATGAGGGAGTGATTCCAGATTATGTAGACGTATAGCATCAAATCTTTATATGAATTTTGATGCCTACATGAAAGGTTATGTTCTTGTCCTTTAAAATCTGTGGATTCAATATATCATATTATTTTTGACTGTCAATTTCACTCAGCCGTACGCAAAGAAATGTTGTCATCTTTATTTCCTCCTAATTTTAGTTCTTATAGGGAAAAGGCTATTCAGTATCTATTAAAGGATGCTAATCCTAATATTACAGCTTTAGTGGCCAAATTTCTTGCCAAAGCAGTCAAAGTTAGATCTATTCTCGTAAAGGAATGATTCATATTGTTTATTATGTTCCTAAATATCCATACTTTGTTATTGTATATCCATGTATCTTACTGCTATGCCATTAAAGGTATTTGACTTTGAATTTTGATGGGTCGGATCCACCCTGGGTGGGGTTGTTAGGCATGGCCCAGCAACCAGTGGAAGATGGGGGCTGGCAGGGAGGTACTTACTATGGAGTGGGGGGCAGTAGTCTTTGTCATTGCACAGTGATGTCACTTTGGACATGAACTGGAACTGTCAGTATCACACTGGGGTGACACTCTAGCACTTGCCCCAAAACTCTATGGACTAGGATTGCCACTCCCTCATTTTGCTGGCCTGCTTTTACCCACCAATCAAATGAGTGTTGGTGAGCATCAGAAAGAATTACCAGGAGCTTGTCAGCCTTTAGTAGGCATCTGGTAAACCTAAGTCTGGAGGCTCCCCACTATACTTTATTCCTGAAGCATAGTAATTTTCAAACTTGAATGTCCAGGAAATTGAAATACCTTTCCCCCAGGGGTTTTTAGATGGCATGCAGGTGACTGAGCCTTTGGTGGTATGGCTCATGATGTTGGATCTTGTGACAGTGCTGCTTGAGTAGATACGGAGACATGATTGACAAGTAACTTGTTGCAGTGGGTACTTCCTCTATCATATCTCTACTGAGTGGTCAATTGTTCCTTGTGAGTAGTTCATATTGGGGTGCTTTCTGTAAGATCAGGCCTTCTCCACCCCTTCCTAGCCCACGAAAAAGAAAATCCTTTTCCAGGAGAGCCTTTAGATCATCAATGGTTTATCTGGGACCTCCAGATGACGCCAGAACTGTTGCCTTCCTAACATGTCTGCCCAGTAGAAAATGAGTCACGGAGATCAGTCTTGCCTTGCTCATTTGGATAATCCCTTTCCCTGCGTGGTGTTATGTTTTAAGAATGCTTGATGTAAATCTTGCAGGAGTGTCTGTTTGAAGAAGCAGTTAGAGCTTGGCTGCAAGCAAGGGTATCGCATAGTTTGTACTTCATGATATCTGGAAGCAATTTAGGCCATTGTTGTCACTTGGTTTGTGGTTTAAAAAGACTTAAGGCAGAACTAAAGCTTGCAAGTAGGGCTGCACCAAGAGCATCATCATGGAATTCACTGTCACAGGAGGTGGTGGCGGCTACAAGCATGGATGGCTTCAAGAGGGAATTGGATAAATATATGGAGCAGCAGAGGTCCATCAGTGGCTATTAGCCACAAGATATAGATAGGAACTCTCGGTCTGGGGCAAGTGATGCTCTGTATTCTTGGTGCTGAGGGGGCAACAGTGGGAGGGCTTCTAGTGTCCTGACCCCATTGGTGGACATCTTGATGGCACCTGGTATTTTTGGCCGCTGTGTGACAGAGTGTGGGACTGGATGGGCCATTGGCCTGATCATTGGCTTCTCTTATGTTCTTATCCCTGTGTTGAGTTTCCTCCTTCAAAACATCTAGTACAATTTAGCCTATGTGGTGACGATGTGACATATTGCATCTTCTCCATTCTCATCCAACATAGCCAATGATAGGGGGCAGGTGTGGGGAATTGGCATAGTGTAGTGACCTCAGAATATGGGTACATTATTGATGGGGGTAGAGTGCAGTTCTTGGTAGAAGCCATATGGTCCTTGTAACATTTAGATCTGTCACCTGGTAGCCCCATCTGCATCTGTGTAAGTAGTGTTCGGGAGATTTGGATAGAATTATATGATGGAGAAATAATCGAGCCATTTTGCAGCCACAAATTTTGGGGGCTTAAACTACACCAAATGTATGTTCAGGAGTTCTCTTATTAAAAACTTCCAGAAAAAAAAGATCTCCCACAACAAAACAGCTTGCTCCGTTGCCAAAATGTTCATAAGGGCCATTCCTTAATGTGATAGCATTAATAGGATCCTGATTTCTTAATACATTTATCATGTTCATATATCAGGCATGTTTGCTGTTCTTAAGCTATATTAGTTAACTACTGTCATGTAGGTTTGGTTAGTCATTAATTCAGTGACGGCTAAAACCCCAATATTTATTTGATTGCACAATATTTTCATTTCTGTTGTTTAATCACATAGTGCCCCCATCAAAACTGTGGTTTCAGTTTTATGTTCATTTTTATAAAAATGCATTTATGCAGATCAGTTCATGAATTTTGACTGAAATAGTATCAGCAATAAGATTGCTCTATCTACCCTTATGGGCACATGAATATGGCAGCATGAAGGGAGTCGTCTCTCTGTCGAAACATGGTTAAATATTACACGGGAGAAATGCCTTTAAACCTTCTCTTGAAAGACCTGTATCAAAGAAGATTGCCAGCTTTCTCATGCTTAGCAGTTTGTCTCGGACCAACTAAACTATTGAGCTTGTGCATGTATCCCACTGCATGCCAGGGTCATTCTGTGGGAACCAATAAGGGCATGCAAAATAGATGTTGTCAAACAAATAATCACTTGAGTAATCTGTTCCAAACCTACAATGTTGCACAAAAGGTTGCATCTTCTATAGGCATAACTGTCTCACCTGCACCTCTCACTGTAGCCCAGTACTCCACACCCCCAGTGCTATTTGTGAAATAACTATTGGTGGAGCAAAAGGAGTTAACTATCTGTTTAGTTAAATGCTCTGTCACTGACTGGTATGTTTACACTGTCCAGAGGCAATGTTTACATTGCCCATAGGAATTTCCATGCTCACCCAACTGGCTATAACTTTACCTGGTCTGCTGAGTTTATGGTGTCTCTGGTTGATCATGAGTCTATGCTGACATCATCCACATTACAGTAGGTGATTCTGGTGCTTCCATAACCCAGCAGCACTATCTGATCCAGGACCCGGGAGGACTAGTAGCCATGTGGGGCCAGGAGGCCTCCAGTATGTAGGAGAAAGGGGGCCTCTCACCTCCTCTCAGTGGTGCAGTACTAATGAAAGAGTCAGATTTGTTTCATTCATCAGTCCCACAACCTTGGGAATAAGGTTTCGCAGGGTCAGAAATGGCTTCTAGATGGAGGGGAATGTGGGAAAGATCTGCTGTTGTCAGTTCTTTCTGCTGATGGACAAACAAAACCCTCAGTGTAGTTATGGAACAGTTCCAATGCTGTTTTCATACTTTTCTTTCACTGGAGATCTGTGTTCCTCATATTTTCTCCAGCTACCTTCCTCCCAAGCAGATTTATTCACTAGTACAGCCTATCGAACCAGTCTCAGAGTTTGTACTGAAAGGACTCCCTTGAGCATGACATTCCAGGATTTGTTCCTAGAGTGTGGCCAGAAGGCACATGAAGCAGCAACCTTGCTCTATGGGAGCCCTGTGTACATCACGCATCCGTGTTAGAAAAATGGTAGCGTATAAATGTAAAATATATCCATAAATCAAACCAGTTACAACTGTCTCTAGTGATTTTGAGGC